AATGCTTTGCTTCTGTTTAATTCTGGAAAAATCTTCGACTTACAGCCTTGCTGACATTCACACTTCCAATGATTCAGAAAGTGACTTCTAGACAGATGTCTCCCTTTTTTGTTTGGTAGTGGCAACAAGTGCAGTTCTTCACTTTAAGCATCAAAATGGCAATCTGTAAACAATTATTAGTAACAAATTATTGAAATATGCAACATTACTGTGATCAATGGATTTGATCTCTTGGAGCTTCTCATTCACAGGGTCACCATAAGTCAAAACCAACCTGATTGCAAATAACAATTGAATGGATATCATACTTAAAGTCAAATGGGACATCAGCCGACTATGATTGCTCACCTCTTTGATTTTTGTGGGTCTACTTAAAATATGAGGAATCTGGCTCCAGTCTCATGGTAGTGAGTGTCATTTTAAAGCCAATGCCCCTCTCTTGGAAAGAGAATAGTTTGGCAGTCTTTGGAGGTTTTTAAACAGAAGCTGGATGGCCCTCTGTCATAAATGCTTTGATTGTGTCTTCCTGCATAGCTGGAAGTTGGACTGGATGGCCTTTGTAGTCTCTTCCAACTCTATGATTTTACAATTCTACTCTGATGTACTTGATGGTGGTGAGACCACATATGCAATATTCCATTGGTTTGTTTTCTTCTGCTCCACAAGATAAGCACTGAACCAGTTGATTAAAATGATAATAAATTAGATTGGTTTTTTGTGGGTTTTTCAGGCTATGTGGCCATGTTCTAGAAGAGTTTATTCCTGATGTTTTACCAGCATCTATGGATGGCATCTTCAGAGAAATAAGAGTCTGAATAAACATTAGCAAGCACTTCCTGATCATAAAATCAGTTTGATAATGGAGCAGACTACCTTGAAAGGTGGGGGATTCACTTTCATTGGAGATCTTTTAAACAGAGTTTTTACTTTCACCTCTCAGGGGTACTCTAGTAGTGGATTCTTGTACTGGCAGAAAGTATGAGTAGTTGCACCAGAGGTCTCTTCCAACTCCACAATTGTATAATTCCAGGTCAGGGTATGTTGTGGAGAAGATTAGATCCTGAAAATCCAAAACCCTTTCCTCCACGTCCCCATAGCCTTGTGGCTGGGGTAATTAATTTTCTTCTCTTCAAGGTGGCTTGTCTTAAACAGCGGAAGGAAACACCAGGTAGGTTTGATTCTATTTCTTGTGGTTTGAATAGGGATCCATGCAGGAATGTCTCCTTTACCTCCCAACCATTCAAACAAATATCTAGCACATGTAGGGGTAAAGTCAGAAAAGCTGAAGCGCAGAATGAATTCAGACTTGCTAGAGAGGTTAAGAACAATGAAAAGGGCTTTTTTGGGTATGTCCGCAGCAAAAGGAAGAAGAAGGAAATGGTAGGGCCACTGTGTGGAGAAGATGGCAAAAAGATGGCAAAAAGTTAACAGAGGACAGAAAAAAGGCAGAATTACTCAAGATCTTCTTTGCTTCAGTCTTCTCAGAAAAGGCAAAGGGTTCTCAACCTGAGGATAATGCAGCAGAGGACAGAATAGGAGAATTTCATCATGGAATAAGTAAAGAGATAGTACAATAATACCTGGTTAATCTAATGAATATAAGTCTCCAGGACCAGACAA